CTACGGAAGTAGGATTGCCCAACCTTCCTTCCGAGGAGTGGCTGGTGGGTTTGAATCACCAGCCTTCTGGTTAGCAGTCAAGTGCCTTAGGCACTATGCCACCAGAGCTCCTGTATGGCGTTACAAAATCCAGCTTCTTACCTCAAGGTAGAACAACCCTGGATGCCATAAGAACTCCCGAGGGGATTAGGCAGAGGCTGGAAACCCTACTGTTTTCCCTTTTCCGGTCATGCTTTCTCTCACTTCTTTACAGGTTATCTTGAGACCCCTGCCTCAATAAATCTGCTGTACCCAAATCCCTGCCTCAGGTTCCATTCTAGAGAACCCCACCTAAGGCAATAAACATTTCAATTGTCTAGTTAATTGGCTTGTAGTAGGAGATTAAGATGTTTATATCCATAACATGGCATGTAAAGCTGCTTCAAAGACTTTAGATGAGATTTCAAGGCTGATTTTTACATTATCAGTTATTCTCTCTATTTTTTAATCTACACAGTGACTTAATTTTTTCTTTTTCTTTTTTTTTTTTTTTTAGGTATTGAACTTATCCCACAAGTAAGGATAGAAGATTTAAAGCAGATGAAGGTAAAATTTCTTGGCCCTTTTGCAATCACTCTTGTATTATAGCTATAAAACATTTATTTTTGGACATCTTTGTTTTTCCACAGGCTTACTTGAAGCATTTAAAGAAGCAACAGAAGGAGCTAACCTCTTTAAAGAAGAAACATGCAAAGGTACAGCTTTTTTTTGTAGATGTGGGTGTAAGTTATGTAGTTTGCTTGTATGGTTTTTACTTTCAGCCATCTGGTAAAAATCTAAAGCCACTATTACTAGATTTATGAACCATTTACAGCAAAAACCTCTATCTAGAAACCACTTAGCAATGAAATTAAAGAATAGAATGGAGTGGTTATCAATGATTTTTAATCTTCATTTCAAAAGCATAGCAAAGCTTCACCAATTTTTAAATTGTCTAACTAAGGTGGCAATTTTCAGTCACCTCATATGCATGTGAAAGCTCGACAATGAATGAGGGAGACTGAAGAAGTGTTGATGCCTTTGAATTGTGGTGTTGGTGAAGAATACTGAAAATACTACGAACTGCCAGAAGAATGAAGAAATCTGTCTGGAAGAAGTGCAGCCGGAATGCTCCTTAGAAGTGATAATAGCCAGACTTCATGTCACTTACTTTGGTCATGTTGTCAGAAGGGACTGGTCCTTGGAGAAGGATATGCTCAGTAAAGTAGAGGGTCAGAGAAAAAGAGGAAGACCTTCAATGAGATGGAGTAACACAGTGGCTGAGATGATGGGCTCAAGCACAGCAAGGATTGTGAGGATGGTGCAGGACCAGGCAGTTTCGTTCTGTTGTACAAAGGGTCGCTATGAGTCGGAGCCAACTCGATGGCACCTAATGTTATGGCTTTATATAAATTATTGGGCTATCACCTGACTTTTAAAGGCCAGCTCACAAATTTAAACCTCTAGGTTCCTAAATTCCCTGGTTCACTGTTGCCTAGGTTGCCAAGCAGTGTGCAGATGGAGCTTCTAGCAAACTCTGAACTTTCCACCCACTGACATCTAAAAAAATGAACCCCCATTGTGGAAACTCACTTCTAAAATGTATTTATTTATTTATTTTCACCCATAAGAGGGCTTTTAATAATGATTATGAGAAATTATAAGAGCTAGTTTCAAATTTTAGGAACCAGCAACCTGCTTTTCAGTACCTCGTAGACATGCTCTCCATCTTTAGGAAAGAAGAATGTACCTCTTTCCTTCCTAAAGATATATAACATTGGCAACGCTACCACTGGAAAGATAATGTGTGCTTTCTTCCATTAGGATAGGAAGAGAAACTTAATTTCTTGGCTTGAAAGGATTTCTGTGTTCTTTTAAGCTAATTTTACATTCTCACTTCTTCCTCCTTGACCCAAGCTTCAAACAAAGGCATGTCCTGCAGCACTGGAGTTAAATGGCATACTTTTGAATAACTCCAGATATCAAGATACAAAGAGAATGGCCTGGACCTCTCATTTCTATAACAGCTTGTGCTCCTTTGAGAAATTCAGCCTAATCTTGGCCTAGTAATGTTCTCTATGTTATTGAACTGACGGCTCAATAGATTTGCTGATACAGAGGTCACTTCAAAAACTGTTTGTTCCCAAGTTTCATGAATAATTCCATCCAATGAAATTCCTTTCATTGCCCACAGGAAAAACTTGTTACAGATTTTTATAAGTGTGAGCTATTTGAGCCAAAGCTATTTAAAGTAGTGATTTCGATTTTGTTGTTTATTGCAAGAAACTGGAATACAGAACGCCAACAGAAAAAGAGAGAAAGAAAAAGGGAAATAAAAGAGAATGAAATATAAATGACTATTCACTGATTAGGAAGGGAGTTGGTGCCCATATGCCAATGGTACCCATATGCCAAGTTGTTTTCCAACAAATTTTCCTACCATTTAAGTTGAGTTTCTATCACTGAGGCAGGCATTTCAGTGGCCTTTGAGCTAGTTGGAAACTTAAACTTCTGGCCTCACCCTCATTAACATTTACTTGAGACATGATTGAGAAATATACTTGTGAATGATAATAACAACAATAGCAGCTACAATTTTTGCATGCTCATTTTCTAGATGTTGCCCTACTTGTATTATCTCATTAATCCTCCCTACCCTATGAGGTAAGTACTATTTACATCCCCCGTTTTGCAAACCAGCACCCTTGAGATTAGTCAATTTAACTAATGTCCCAGTTGGAGAACAGCAGAGCTGGTACTTGATCCCATATCATCTGATTCCAAAACCATGTTCTTACTGCTTTACTCTATGTGAGAAATTGAATGCTTTACCAAGTAAACAAGTTCTTATCATCACATCTCATGACAGCACAAAGAACGTTAAAATCTCCATGTAATGTGGACAGTGAAAAATATACTAGTTACCTGAAGAGTTACTAAAGAAGCATGTTCCTCAATTTGTTAGGATTCAACCTGTATAATACTGAGCAGAGTTGTCTGTTGATACTTTTATTTAAACCTTTGAAACTCAGATCAATTAACAGTCCTATCTGCTTCATCGGAAAAGTGGCAAAGATGGGAAATTATTTTTCTGTGAGACAGTTTTGAAAAACCAAAAACTAAACCAGTTGACCTGGAGTCAAATCCAACTCATGGTGACCCCATATGTGTCAAAGTAGAACTGTGCACCATAGGGCTTTCAATGGCTGCATTTTCAGAAGTAGATCACCATGCCCGTCTTCAGGATAGGTCTGAGTGAGCTCATACCTCCAACTTTTGGGTTAGCAGCTGAGCCTTTAAACTTTTATGCCACACAGGGACTTGTGAGATGGTTTAGAGGTGGCTTTAGTAGATCTTTCCCTCCACCTCAGGATATCACTGCCCTTCATTTCTTCCATTGTCTTTTCTGTTTCTGGCAAGGAAAGTATTTATTTTACTTCAAAACTAGTTAAGTCTCACATGGCTGAAAAAATCTAAGTTGCCCTCATTTGCAGAGAAGAATGATAAGCTTTTTGGAACTTCATATTAAAATAGAACCAAAATTTAAAAGAGGATTTTAAAGGTACTAAATCTTACCATCTGAATTTGTGTAGACATTTATAGTAGCTTTAAAAAAAGCCTCACTGCTCTTGAATCAATTTGACTTATAGTGACCCCTCCTTGGGTTTCTCTACGGAAGTAGATTGCCCAATCTTCCTTCTGAGGAGTAGCTAGTGAGTTTGAACCACCAGCCTTCTGGTTAGCAGTCAAGTGCCTTAGGCACTACCCTACCAGAGCTCCCATAGCAGCTTTAGTGTGCATTTTTTGGAGCAAGTGTTAGCCTTCAAATTTCCTTACATCAGGTAACAGAGCTAAATTGCCACAATCAAGTATGCTGTACTTAATTATTGTTTTTCAGAATGTTTTTTAGAAGCATTTGTGAGTAGGGCAATGCATTCCATTGCTCATTTTTCGTATCCTCATACACTTCAGAAGTTCAAGGCACGCGTTTGTGATGATAAGCTATGAATTAATTTCTTCTCCCCTATTAAATACATATAAAATCTAAACCCACTGTCATCGAGTTGATTCTGACTCGTAGAGACCCTTTAGGACATAGTAGAAGTGCACCGTAGGATTTCAAAGGCTATAAATTTTTATGGAAGCAGACTGCCTCATATCTTTCCCTCAGGGAGGCTGGTAAGTTTGAGCCACCAACCTTCTGGTTAGCAGCCAAATGCTTTACCACTATGCTACCAGAGGTCCTGCTAAATACATATGGGACCCACTTTTGTATTCAACCACTTTTGGCAGTTCAATTTATGAAACCTAAATTCTAGGATCTCTCTTTTTCTGAAACTAATACTAACAAGGCTACCTTTTATTCAATGCCTCTTTTGTCACGCATTTTATAAAACCAAAAAAAAAAAAAAAAC